GATCCGTTGTTCGAAAAGGGTGCTCTGAGAAGGCGCCACATAATCGCGCTTGAGCTCCTTGAGCCATGGAGTTGGCTCCCAAGGGAAAGCAGGGTCAGGTTCAACAAAGACAAATTTATCTTTCCACCTAAGGACATTTGAGGGGGTATCCGAAATGAAGTGGACATCAGCACGGCTTTTGAGGTAAAGCCCTTGTGCGTGTTTCGAAGGGGTGTAAGAATAGTGAAAGAAGTTAAGGTCGAGCCGACCTAGGCGGACATGACAAAGGATGATGAAGATGGTAATGAACCGGATGGCATTAGGAGGAAGCTGGTTCAAAGGCAGTTCGAACCATTGGCAGATGTCGAGCAAATTTTGGCATAGAGGAAAGCTGATACCAAGTTTAAAATGAACCTCGAAAAAAGTATAACAACCCTTAGGGGGACAGTCATACGTATCCTTGGGACCAGGGGACATGAAAGCCCATTTTGGTGGATGACCAACCTCATTGGTGTCCAGCCAACCAGCGACGAGAGAGCGAGAAGAGGTCTGGTTAGAGAAGGAAGCTTTGACTAGCCTTCTCTTCTTGGCTGGCTTAGGAGGCGCGGTAGTATGACCGGAGCGGGTTTGCGAAGCAGGAGAGCTTGAAGGAGCATTTCGCTTCGACATACTCGAGGAGACAACGTGGGCAAAAACAGAGTGCTGAGAGAGGGGGACATCATCTTCTTCCCTCTCCATGGCTGCCTCAGCAGCGTCGAGAGCTGTCTCAGCGGCGTCAGAGGCCCCGAACGCTGGCCGACGACGGTTGAGGGGGACATGGTCGAGTGCATCCACATCTGATTCATCAATCAGACGAGTAGGTTGGCGAGGGGGAGAAGGTATGGCATAATCTGGAGGAGGTAGAACACTTATAGGAGTGGGATTGTAGATTTCTTCGACGGATCGGGAAGGCGAGTGAGGAATAGGCTGAGGAGTGGGGAAGGATGATGTGGCGATCTCATCTTCGACAGAGTGATGGCTGGGTGCGTTAGAATCAGCGGAATCTGAAAAGTAGAATGAAAAAGTGAGAAGAAGAGAAAAGGAGTTAGGGTTTTTGAAAGCAAAGAAGGAGGTTTTTGCCACAGGCGAGACGAGAAGGATTTGGGAAAAAGAAGAAGTAGCAGGGAAAATCGAAAATTGACAAAATAAATGCACGCAAATATAAAATTGAAGCACAGAAGACTTACTCATGGTTGCAGTAGAGAAGTGGTTGCCGGAAATTGCTTGAAAAGACGCCGAGTGCAGAAAGGAGAAATTTGCAGAGAAAGAAATCAGAGCGCAAGGGAGTTCGAAATTGCAAAAGTGAGTAAAGTGGAAAAAGTGGCTAAGTACCGCATTTATACAAGTACAGATGAATAAGGTGAAGAGTTAGGGGATATGACCGTTGGATAAAAGAAGATCCAACGTAGGAAAAAATTAAAGGGGCGCAGATAATGAAGCGACACAAATCGCGAGGAGGCGCAATGATTAAAAGTATAGAGTTAAGGGGACATGTGGCAGGCGGAGATTATGCTGATAATAAAAGGAAATAAAAAACAGTTATAGTGCGCATTAAAATGGACCACGTGGTCGAGGAAAGGCGGCGACATCAACAAAAATGATCGAGAGAAGAGGCCAGGTGCGAGTGAGAGATCGAGGGGATTGACAGAATGGAGAGGACAGCTCGAATCCACTCTTAGATCGAGTCATTCAGACTCGACCAAAGTGGGGGGGACTAGATGATATGGGATATTATATAGTTGAGGAATATACCGATTTGCAGCATTGATCGAGCAACCTCGAAGTGGAGAAAGTCGGATTGGTAGAAGGATGATCGACCAAAAGGAAAGAGATCGAGCAGAACAGCAGAACTGGTCGAGGATCGACCAAAAGGAAGGAGATCGAGCAGAATAGCAGAGTTGGTCGAGGATCGACCAAAAGGGAGGTGATCGAGCACTCAACAGGTAAAGAGCAGTCTAGAGCGTGGCTTGAACGCGTGAAGGCGCGTGGATGGCGTTAGGAGATCCCAACGGCCTACGCAGAGGAATAATCTCCCTCAGCTCAGAGGGACACGTGGCGAGAATATATTGGTGCAAAGTGATAGTGGCGAAAGCCACCTCTGACAATCTCTGACATACGCACACTATGTGTGTACGGACGGGCAGGACAGCTCACCAAAAGCTGGGCAATTCCCGGGGCAGGTATATGTATATATGGGAGTGGGTCTTTTCTTGTAGACGACAATTTATCCATTCTTTACTTTGGAAAATTGAACAAACACATACTGACTTAAGCATCGGAGGCTCTTCACCGAAAAACCCCCTCCGGTGTGAGAGTTCTGTGCAGGAACGCGGCGTTCTACTGGTGAGGAAGAAGGAGCCAAGCTAATTTCAAGCCGGTTGGAGTGTTTTGCGTTACCAGCGTGCGATTTTGGTTTTCGCCATTGACGGAAGAAGTTTTTTTCCCTTCTGAATGAGATTTCATTTTTTCCGAGGATCGTGTCAGAGATGAACGTGTGTAGCAGTTTTCCTTTTGAGGATTTAATTTATCCGTAACCTATGCCCATCTCCCTTAATTATCTAATATAACTGCAAAATAATCACTTTAGGTATATTAGCAATTTTTTATGCTTATTTTTGTAATTACATAAATATCAAATTAAGGGACGTAAATTTATAATATATTGAGGAAGGGGAAGTAGAGGGTGCAATTTCCTCTTTTTAAAACGAACAAAGGCTGGGCTGAATAATGACACACTACAGAATTGTTTTAACAAAATTTTTCTACCTGCTAACACATATCTGCGAAAAAGAGAGAACAATATACTATTTGCAAGAACAGGAAGACTCCCAGCAAAAGAAGTATCAACATGCTTAAGGTTCTAAAAATTCCAGAAAATTCAAAAATAAACCTAATTTTCAGAGTTCAAGAGATTTAATAAAACAGAATTAATTGGCTCGAAAAAAAAAACGAAACAACACTAATACAGCTCGAAACCAAAACAACGATATAACTACGACTAGGAAAATAATATCGAGACTCCGGAAAATATCAGATTTTACCACAGCAAATAACGGCTCGATATTTCAAAACGAGAGTTCCAACGAATCCACGATAATGCGAATTACCACAATCGAACTTTACGAACGAACCGAAAATACTCCGAAAGTCAACAAGACTCGATTCCAAGAACACGATAGATCAAACGATAATATCCGAGTACGAAAATAAAACGAGGAGGTTCGACGATTACCGCTCTTCGGGAAAATCACGAGCTCGGGGAAAGGCAAACAGACGGACGAACGGGGTCTGAAAGAACGCGCAGGACTCAGAACTCGAAAGCATCGTTGAAAGGCGATTGGTGGCTGGAACTTCCTGGCGGCACCACTACTCTGCTGCGTGGCCGTCGACCGCGAACGGGAATGCTGGAACGCGACGAACGGAGCTCACCGGAGAGACCGCCGGAAACAATGGCGGGTGGCCTATCTGAGCGAAGAAGAAGGCTCGCGACGATGGGGTCGGTGCACAGCGACGGCAACAGGCTACGCGTGTGGGAGGTCGTCGGTCGCTGTGGATGATGCTGTGAGGTCGGCGACGGCAGGTCTGCGGAGGTGGGGGTCGCCGGAGAAGAAGGTGCATCTGAAATAAAGGTCCACAATTGATCATAAAGGCTAGAAATAAATCGCTTTGGGTCGAAAAAATAAAATATACGCGATAACAAAAATTTCCGATGGATTCGATTGACGACGAATAACAAATAAACTTACACGACTTATTATATTAATTAGACGAGAATATCAAATTAAATAATAATAAGTCTAAACGGAAAGAAACCGAGCAATAATACAATATAGACAATTAATGACAATTAGACATTTCATAATAATAATAATAATAATAATAATAATAATAATAATAATAATAATAATAATAATAATAATAATGCCCATAAATAATATTCAAAAAAATACAATATTCAAGCGGGGCGCTACAATAATCATTCCGGTTTGTTCTCATTTATGTGCATGACGATAGTTCAATCTTTGCGAGTTGTTTTAATTAGGAATTGATAAAATCATGCTTGATAATTCGATATAACCTAAGTGTGACACTTAGAAAAATTTATTGATATAATCGAAGAGTGACACTTCGTTTTTGCACGATTGAATGTTGATTTCTTAAGTTAGAGTTTGTTGATTCTACATGGTTAGTTGATTGAACACCTTCTAATCGAATTAGCGACTTTTAGAACCGAAATGGGAGGAGTGGTAGAGTAATCGTTTTCAAAACCGAGAGGGGAGAAATTGGTGGAACTTGGCTCGATTAGAGTAGACATGTTCGGAGACGTATTGTCTATGTATTAATTGTTTCGTTAATTTGCTCGTTTATGTTTATCCGCATGTGACGAAGAGTTATTGAGGTTAAACCGCTAAATGAGTAAATTAGTCGATTCTTTTAATCGAGTTACGGATTGCCGATAAATGTGTGTAGAACCGGAAATGATTGTCCACGAAACCCTAGCTCGTTTATTTATATTTGAACCGTATATATATTCTTGAATTGTGTTTTCGAGTTGTGACATTTAAATAGCTCAATTTGCATTTCATTAGTTGATAATCCCATCCGACAAATTGAATTAGAGTGTGTAGGATTTTATTTTCTATTTTTGTGTTCTGGACAACTAACTAGCAAACGAAGCTCCGAACCGTCTTCCTCTGAGAGACGACCCGAATCCGGATAACTCGGTTACTAAATTATCCCACCACAAAATACTACACAACATCCGACCCGCGTTCGACGCCATGTCCTGCTGCGACTGTGTGGGTCCTCATCGCCGCCGTGTCTTCGTCCTTACCGGCAGCCCCTGGCCTTTCCGATCAGCGGCGGAGAGTTTAGAATGGGCAACGGCTTCGGCGTGGTGGTACCGGCGACGAGATCCATCCGCTAGACAGCGACGCCGTTCTTCCTGCTCGCCAGAAATCTGCTGTTGAACACAATTAGGGCAAGGGCGGCGACTGAGGCGGCCATGTTTGGAATGGTTTCTGCGGTGGTGGGCTGTTATTGATGGCGGGCCTATTGGATTCGACGGCTGTACCGGTTACGGGGCTGTCGGCCGCAATGGCTTAACCGTGCGGCGGAGGACTGCAGTGGGCGGCGAACGGCTGCAGCGGGTGGTCGCGGGCGGCAGTAGGAAATTATGCAGGTGGCAGGAAATTGGAACATGTATGTGTGGGTAGGTGAGAGAGAAATGGGCGTTTGGTGGTAGGTCGTGGGACCCACATGTAATGTAAATGAGTGTGTAATTACTGATTTGTCCTTATTTAGTGGTTAAATGTGTATATTTGACCACGAAATATACACATATTTACATGATTGTCATTGTTTAAAAAATTTTGGAAGCATTTAATGCATACTTTTTTTTTGGAATATTTTTAATAAATGCATTAATTGTTTCTATATACACGTTTTCAAATAATATCAAATCATATATGATCAAAAATATTGTTTCCTTAAATAATTTTATTAATACCTGCTATAATTTCATTAATATCCATTAAATCAATGTTGATTGATTTTCTGTGATTCTTGATGATAATATTTTGGTCTGATATTTGCTAAATCGAAATTGTTTAATTAGTATACAAAATTAAATTCTAAAAAAATATGAGTATATTTCATAAAATATTTATACACTATTTAATTTAAATTTATTTATATATTTTAAATTGATTACATAAATAAATAATATTAAAATAAAAAGAAAATAAGACGTACAACTTCTATAACTTTTATAAATAATAATGACATTATATGACAACAAAGTTTATAATAAAATAATAATTAAGTATTATACGGTGAACAAGAATAACTAAAACCATTATTTTCTCTTATATCAAGGAATAAATATATATACTAAAGTAAAATTTATATTAGCATAAATGTGTTAGTGAAATAATATTAATTATTTTACAAACTAGTCCTAACATGCTCACATTTAATGTTCTGATTAAAAACACAATGCTGATTAAAAGAGGTGAAAAATAGATCATTTAATAAATATATATATAATAAGAATTAATATTTACCAAAAATAGCAGCAAAAAAATAGTCAGAATTTAATGCAGCTTATAATAGTAAGTTTTATTATTTTTCTTATTTTTTTCTTTAAAAATCATACAGCATTAAATGTTACCTTAAATTTCAAGCTTTAATTCATTTTATTATTTAAAAATTCCGGCTAATATTTATTAACTGTGTATGTTTTTAATTTTATTTTTTTCTTAGAAACAACGAACAATATTAAAATCTCGATCTCTATATTTATAAAATCTTAATTCAAAATATAACAAAAGTTTTAGAATCTCGGTCTTTATATTTGTGTCTTTTAAAAAAAATTGAACGCTAAAAATATTCTTTAAATTGCATAATCAATCAATTAATCTTAATTTTTTAAAAATTACTATGCTTATTTTTTATAATATGCATAAAGTAAAAAATAATTAATTCATCTTTAGATATATAATTTATAATCTTAATATACTATCATTTGGTGTAGACATTTATTATATGAATCATAATATATTTTTATTTCATAAAATTAAATATATTTAAAGAAAATAAGAAAATTTCTTCGGATCAATCGGGTGATTGAATTAGGGCACTACCCAGGTTGATTGAATTACTTTTATTTGATATTTAAAATAGTCAAAAAACTTGACACAACTTGGTTGGTCCCAAGTGACTAAGTTATGTATCAATTCGACCACACCAAATCGATTATTGAACCTAAATATAAATTTTATATTGAAAATATTTTATTACGTGAATGTGATGTAGTCAAAACTTCAAATAATCGTATTAACAATACTTTTATGACAACATCTTTAATGATTTATGAATATTTATATATCATTTTATTAATATTTATGTGAATTAAATAATATTTTATTATAATATTTATTAATGTATAGTAAATATAAGGTTTTTAAACAATCAAGCTATTTTATTAAATTATTTGTGGTTTGTTTAGATTTTAATTCATAAATAATATAAAAGATGTATATATATATATAGTATTTTTTGTAATAAATTTAAATAAAATGTGTTACTTAGATATCTAAACAATTTATAAATTCAAGTGTTTACCAGTCCAACCGACTAGTGTTGACGGATTTGAGATCAAATATTTTATTCAAACAAACTAGACTGATTATAAACCGGTTCTCAGTCCATCCGGTCGAACTGTGTCCAACCCAGTTTAATTTAAAAATAATGAATAAATCATAATTAATGTTATTTTATATTTAATTTATAATACAATTTTAATATTACTTTTTGTGTATCGTACGGATCACACACTAATAACCCTAATAAATTAATTAATTTAATATCTCATTTAATATCTCTATTTCATTTCTGTTAAAGGATTGTGCATGCCCTAATTTAAAGTCATCAGCATTCGCCTCCTTTCCATTTCTCCTTCTCTAGTCGGAAATTCGATCTTCCTTTACTCAAAGGGGTCACCTGAGATCAAATCCGACACGAATCATGTGGAGAAGGCTCGCTATCCAGATGCGGTCTCTCGGCCCCGCCCGATCCCCCGCCCGTTGTGTCGCCGGGTCTTCGATTGCTCCGGCGAATGGGACATTCGCTGCCTTCACTCGTTACATCTCGACGGAACCCGGTATGTCTTCTAATTAGAACCCTAACCCATTTTCTTACGTTTTTTTTTTCTTCAATAGTGTTTTTCTCGAGATACCGATGCGTATGCTTTCGATGGATCTATCTGTTATTCGAGGTGAGTTTCTGGTGGTGAATGGTGATAATAGTTTGAATCTTTGTTATTCAATGCGCTCCAGTGGGGAATGCGACTGCCTTTAGGATTGAGGATGTAATGCCGATTGCTACTGGTCATGAACGCGAGGAGCTTGAGGCTGCGCTTAAAGTTAGTATTAAACTGTCTTTATATCTGTCTAGTTGAGTTTTCTTGGAGATGACTTTTGGGTTGTTTGGTAAGTAATTTTACCTTTTACGACTGCATTGTTTGATTAGGGAAAGAATCTTCAAGAAATTGACTACCCAGAGGGTCCCTTTGGCACGAAGGTTAGTACTATAGCTTGTTATTTTTTCTGATTTATTTGTTCTTGTTTTAAGTTGGATTTAAATTACCTACATGGAAAACAATTGGTGTGGATGAAATGGTGCGATATGGCATCGGCATATGTGTGGTTGTATATATTACTTACATAAACAAGGAGCTATTACAATAACTTTAGACGTCATATGAAATTGTTCTGTTGTACTTATGCCCATGCTCTAAAGTAGACACTGAAAAACTAGGGGTAAGATATCTCAGTCATGATCAAGAGTAATTCTGAATCATGTCATGTAGATGGTTGTAAACACATCCATAATCCTGGCATATCATCAAATAATTGTCCTTTCTAAGCTTTTTACCCATTTTGGTTGTTATTGTTCACAAGCGTTCCTTGGCAGGAATTTTGTTGAGAGCACTTATTTCCTTTAGTCTTTTAGTGGCACATTCTTGGCTTTGATTGTTAACAGGATAGCCTTGCATCTTTCCAAAATGTCACGCTATCTAGATTTCTTTACAATTCCATCCAGGGCTGCATAGAGAACTTTGATTTGGATCGGCGGAATTTGGTGTCGAACATGTTCTCTCTAGATCTCATGGGATGCCGCTCTTTACTTTTAGATGTACATATTAATATTTCAGTAGGGGATGTTGATGTTTTAACAATTCATGTAGCGGCATTTGTAATCGGCAAATAATTATGTATATGCAAAGGGCTAGGGTGAAAAGGATATTGTTTGTGATGAAAAATTTCTCTTCCTGATGGAACTATCAGCATGTGTAAGGAAAATTCCTATTTTAAATAACACTCCATTGCCTTGATGAGGGAATAAGTTATCACATTTTATATGAAACTTCTTGTAGCTAAAAGTTGATTACTTTCTTGAACTTTTCCCATTTAAACAAAAAGTTCTTTTGACACACTCAAGGTAATAATGAAAACCTGTTACGTCAGAGTTCATATATACTCAAAGTTGCAGCACCAGCAAAGTCATTTTCAGTTTTCAGTTCCATTTCCTCTGTTTGATAGTTCAATGAATCAACTTGTTGTTAATAAATTTATAAGTTTCGTGCTTAGAAATAATCACAGTTCTTGGTTGCTTTTGAATTTGTTAAACTTTTTACTGTTTGATTCCTTCTTAAAATGGAAAATTTTCATTCAGGAAGCACCTGCTGTGATCCAGTCTTATTACGACAAAAGGATTGTGGGGTGCCCGGGTGTTGAAGGAGGTGAGTCTTTGTTACTCTCTCACTTAAATGGCACTCTATGGGTTTTTCAGTGTTTTGCTCACATTTGATAATCTGTTTTTCTATATGAAAAATCTAACAGAGGATGAGCACGATGTTGTTTGGTTTTGGCTGGAGAAGGGCAAGCCCCATGAATGCCCAGTTTGCTCACAGTATTTTGTGGTAAGTATATTTTAAATTTTTTGAAGGTTGACCTGACCGTTTTGTAATTAGATTAGTCCTCTGGCAAAAAGATTGTAATTTGTTTGCTTAGGGCATGCTTGTTTACAAATTAATATGCTCAAAATGAGTTTTTTTTTAAATTAACCAGGATTAATTTTGAAAAAAATGGTATGATTAGTTGTTAGTAGGATTTTGAGTTTATATTAAAATAATATTTGAAATAAAATAATTAAAGTTGATTTGATGTAAAAGTAGGAGAGAGATAATATGAAGTAATAATTAGTTAAAATTATGTAAATTGATGAATAGTGAATTAAAGTTGATGTGATTTGTAAGAATGATTTGTTTGTATTATCTAATTATTTGAATAGTATTAAAGATAGTGGAGTTGAGTTAAATTGAGTTAGATTTTAAGTATGAATTAAAATGTGATTGAAATATTTTGTATACAAACAGCCCCTTAACCTTGTATAATTAGTTTGCTCAGAACAGAAGGCAAATATATTTGTATTTCCTCGACCGTGCCTAGGCTTGTAAACAAATCGAATTTTTTTTTATGCGAATTCGAATTCGAATACGAATAATGTTTTATATTTGAAAGTGAAACGAATTTGAATTCGAATTTGTAGATATTCGACTCGAAATTCGAATACTTGATTCGTTAATGATAATTATAAATTTTATAAATTATATATAGTATACATTTTGTTTGTAATATAGATGTGTATTATATATATTGTTATATTCTTAATATTTTTATGACATAAAAAGTAAAAAAATCTTAAATTAACAATTTTCCCTGAAAACATGGAAAAACATAAAAATTATTTTTGTAATTATAATATTTTAATTATAATATTTTTCTGAAAACGAATTTGGAATCGAATCGAATATGTTCGAATATTCTAAACGAATCGAATACGAATCAAAAAAATGAGTTCGTTAACAAATCGAGTACGAATTCGAATCCTCGAATATTTTAACGAATTCGTATCGAATATCTTAGTATTCGCTTTCATTCGATTCGTTTACAACCATAACCCTGCCTGTGTCTACATCCAGATTTTTTTCCATCAAGTTATTTTACATATTTTTTTTTCATCTTGGTTGACAGCTGGATGTGGTGGGCCCAGGTGGATCTCCAGACGGTGGACATGAAGATGATGAGGACCATCATCACTAGTTATAAGCAAGGAGTGGTATTTTCTGCCAGAATAAGTTATTGTGTTTCGATTGCTTTGGCAAGAACGTTGAAACTGCTTCTCAACGATGTTATTGTTTTCTTTCTTTTTTTTTTTCTTTTTTTTTTTGGTTGAAATGGGCTTCTTCATAGTTTACCTTTTGTCCTGTAGAGTACAATAACTGATTAGCATTGTCTTAGTTTATGCTAAGACACGTTTGATTCTTCTACAAACTTAAATAGTAGTTAGCCATCGTGTGAATCATTTTTTTATTCCTCGACTCCCATGCAATTGCTTTTTACGGATTTCTCTACCATGCGAGGAATTGAATCTTTAATGAATAACTATTGTTTGTCATTTGTGAACGTCAATAAAATGGTTAAAGAAAAAAAATAAAAATAAAATGAACAAAAGAAGCAAAGTTGAGGTATGTGAAGTTGCGATTTCCTTAAGATCAATAGCCCCATATATTATGTTATTTTAAAGATTTCATGTTCATTGGTATTTACAGATTTTTTTGAACATTTTTAGGGAGTTGATTATGTCAAAAGACACCTTTTGGAACATAGTCGATTATCTCAGTTAAAACTTTTTCGGTACGCGCAGGTGTTTCATTTTTTTTTTCTACTCATCCCCAAAAAGCCTTGTCGGAGTTTTAGTATGCCTAATTCATGATTACAGCTTGTTTGGTTTGTCCAAACATTTATCAAAGATTAATTATTTGCAAATCCAATAACATTTGATCTAATTAAACTCAATTTTAAGTTACATTAACTTAATTCCACCACATTTCAACTTTACAATTAATTTTTCACTCCTCTTAAAGTGATTTTGAGATTTTTATTCTAATCCTTCCACTTACACAAAAAAGATAAAACAATAACTATGGCGTTAGTTCCTCGGTGTAACATCTTTTCGATCTTGTGAAGGTGTAGATGGTACTCTTTCACCATGTGTTCAACAATGGATGTTGTATCAGTGGAGAATGAGATATCGTATTCAGTGGTTTGTTTCAAAGTTTGTGAATACATTGATAAAAACTTTCTTGTGGCTAATTACTTTTATTTGGTTGCCTCGACTTCGATGAGATACTCATAGCACTACGANTCTGACCTTTTTTCCTGTAATACTATTAAGTATTAACACAATTAAAAATAATAAATAATTATTATTGGATATTTTTTATAAATTAAAATGAAACAAATAATCTTTCTATTTATCTTACATTTTTTATACAGTAACACTAATACAATTAAAAATCAAGAAAATAATAATTATTATTATTATTATTATATATTGTTTCTAACTACCAATATTATCTATGAAATATTTTATTCTTTTTACATCACAATAACTTTAAACATAAATATATTTATTTTAGGTTAACTTTAATTATATTTATGTAACGCCCCAATCGATCTTTAAAAAAAATTCATGACTTTTTCAATAATCAAGGTAAAAATTTTCGAAACTTATTTTTCGAATCACAAATTTTTGACGTTACTCATTCCTTTTATAAATACAGTTCAAGTCATAACTAAACTACGGGGATTCATTATCCGATTTTTCTACGGTTTTCATTAACCACATAAAACGATAAATTTAACATCAGATCATACTCAACCATATATCAAGTAGGGTTTTTCATCGTAAACCAAATCCAAAAGTTTTCCAAAATGAACAAGTTCAAAATCCAATCCAAACAAGTTCAATACCAACATAGTTCATAAATAAGCGAAAGCAATTTACTAACCATAATAAGCAATGACCACCACCCGTCCTGTCTCGTCACGCGCCACTGCTTAACCTGCATCAGTTACGAGCATGTGGGAGTGAGTACAGTTAAATATCGTACTCACACTATGCAATGCACATATAGCAATATGTTAAATAGGCATGGTCGCAGCATGAACATAAACAATATCACATATGTCACATCTCCAACATAAACATAAATACTCCTGTGTACACATCTTTCATAATAGTCGCGGAAAGGGGATTCATTACCCTAACGGCGAGAGTACGTGCCACGCAAGGACACGGCCTTTCATAATAGGTCTTATGGAGACTTGCCTCGCAAGGGAAACCGTATTACATAGATGGGGACAACCGTACCGATGGCCATCATAATAGCTCACATCGATAGGCTACATATTCACGTTCATACATAGATCACGCCAAAACCGTAAACATATTTAACACACATTGCACAGGTGACTTTAGAATAACAACCCACCTGGAAATTCGGATGGACGATAGCAATTATCAGAAGAGACATGGGTCGAGGCTTGACTCCTCAAACACCTACATTAAGTCAAGGTCCTACAATAAATATCTTGACTTAAAAAGGAAAACACAAAACAGACCTAGTCGAACTTGTTTCGACTAAGTAGTTCGTGAAGTTCTGTGGATATTGGAACATTATGACTCGGCACTAAACCCGACCAAACCACGTAAGGGAGTTCACATAAATCTATCTAAGGATTGACCAAGTCAAACTCACATCAAAACGAAAAGCAAGTCGATTCCCAACTTTTCATTTCAAAATCATGTTTTGAAAATAGTAATCATTAATCACATGAAAATAGATGGTCAGGCTACCCTACGACTTAAGCTCTGAAACTTTGCCCAAAATTACATCTCCCAAAAATTAGTAAAACCACAAAATTTCAGCTTCAAACTCAAAGCACATAAATTTATAAAATTTCTACAAGAATTCGGCAAAAGCGCACATGAATTTATATCTGAACCTAATGAATGAATCAGGACTTGAAAATTTAAACTCACAAGCTACAGCAGGATATAGACAACATGTAAAAATCTCAACACTGGACATTACCTGTGCTAATTTTAAAAATTCTGACAAAATTCAGCAGTTATCAAATTTAAATCAAAACCGAATTAAATTGGACTCCAACAATTCCCATCTTTTAACATCATGAATATAAATATAAAATAAGCATCTCAGTCAAGTTTCAGAATTTTTCAATGAAGAACCGATTTTTAATAATTGATACAACTTTCAGCAGAAACAAAAAAAAAATCATTAACCATATCAAATTCAACCCAAAAATTCTAAAAAGTTAACATAGCACACAAACACACCAGTAGCACAACATACTAAAATGTCAGCTCATTTGAGTCACAAACCAATTTACTAAGAATTAAATAATATTCTGATCAGAATTCACTTTAATTTTTAAAAATAGCTACAAGCCTCTAAAAATTACGAAATTTGTACACGAGTCCGGAAATGAATAGAAAACATACTCCTCAAAATTTCAAGTCATTACAAGCAGTTAGCGATTTTTAAAAATTCAAACACCAAAACAGCGACATATATGCTTGACAACTTAGCAATTAATTCATAACATGAAATTTCTCGTCCGAAGCCTTCTCGTAAGACCAAGGACTCGACTTTGTTCCAATATCCATTGACTTACACGACTTTCGAGGTCTCGTTCAATTTCTCATAATTGAAGAGATCCCGAACAACATAAACGACACATAAAATCATATCTTTCATATAAATTCACGATTTTCACGTATTCTCTAATCGAACACATATATCGAAAACATAATCACATAACTTATACAAATTCACATATCATCATATAACACAACGATAATTACGTAAAATAAACGGGAAGACGGGACTCGATACCGTTCTCGAGAATCGGGCGAGAAAGGTCCGAACGTGCTCGACGGAAAACTCGTCTCGCGAAAGAGGAGAGCTCGTCGCACGGGAGGAGAAAGTGCGTCGCTGCTGCTGGGTCACGAGCTCGTCGGGAAGGTCACCGGAGTTGCTGCTCGAAGGATGATCGAACTCGCCGGAAAATCTCACGAACAGAGGGGGCCGCGTGAATGAGATGGACTACCTGCAATGTGAACGGGGTTCTCCAGTGCGCCCCAATTGTGGGTCTTCTTTTTCCGGCAGGACTCTGCTGGAGGACGTTCGCCGCAGATGTGAAGGGAAACGGCTGCTTGCTGGACGGAGGATAATCTGGTGATGCTCGTCGGAGGCGGCTGCTTGTTGACAGTCACCGTACGCCATCTGATGGAGGACAAGCAGCGGCCCTAGATGTCATGTATGGTGCGCCGGCGATGGAAGGTGGACTGCTCGGTTGCTGGCAAGACGGCAAGGGAGCCGCGACGGCTTTTTGCGAGAGAGGAAGACGACCTGTTTACGGCGAGAGAGAGAAGAAGGGTCGAGGAATTTGAACGCGTGATAGAAGGCTGTGGGTTTTGATCGAGTACAAAATCTGAGATTTTTCCCTTTTCTTTCCTCTGCTACGCGAACACAAAAACGAGAAGGAAAGAGACTGGGAAAAAGCTGCGGGCGGGTTTTAGTAGAGAGAGATGAGCAGACATATATTTGGCTAGGGTTTCTCTAATCTTGTTCTCCAATCAAAAGAGATGGGTTGCGGGTCGGGTCGCGGTTCACTCGGTTTTTCGATCGACTTAGCCAAAATAAAAATTGGCTCGTTTCGCACAATAATTTAAAATAAGATAAAACTCGGCTATTATAATAAAATATATTCACACATTATTATTTAAATAATGATACACATTTTAGCATTCAATAGACAATTAGGCATTTAAATAAAATATTAATAACAATAATAAAAATAATAATAATAATGACAATAATATTAATTAAAATCCAAAATATTCCAATTAACGAACGGGACGCTACAATCTACCCACCTTACAAAGAATTCCGTCCTCGAAATTCGAACAACAAACTACGATGAGAATCTAACGAGAAATAAGAGGAGACAACATCAGCACATGAAATTCAGGTGCTTCCTCCGAATTTCGGTCTCCCTCTCCCAAGTCGCCTAGCCTTGACCACCCTCCCACTGGACTTGACGAGTACCCCTCCCAGCCTTATCCTAATGGACCCTCTGATCCAATAGGTCACCAATACCTCCATACAGGTAGGGTTCTGCCTATCACGCAGCTCGTCACATCTCACATATACTCCGAGATCAAGCACACGTTTCCTCCCTCAAGAGACACAAAACGTGTCATGCATCCTCGCGAGTTCCGGTGGTGGAGTCAACCATCATGCTAAGTCATCGACTTGGTCGAGAATCATAATAGGACTGAGTACGCGTTGCAGTAACCAGAACAACGGCATACTCCACCCACATCCGTACCAGCCACCTCACATGCGGTCTAGGAAATATCGACTAGATGTTCGAAAACAATCTCCTATCGCAGAATCGGTCTCACGATTAGGGATGCTCGATATTCCCATACTAACAATCTAACACCAATACTCTCTCACTCTTCTCAGGTCTCGATTTCTACGAAGTATACATAGTCTCCAATCGAGACTCGGGACACTGCCCGATAACGATGAGGGACCTAAAACTCGCTATCTCGAGAGAATCTCGCATAAGACAAAGGAAAACTAATCGACAAGCCTCACATATCGAGAGTCGTTGATTAAGGATTTATACAATGGTTCGGTTTGGGGTTTAAGGCACTGTCACCCGAGAGATGACACACACACAGGCGCTGCATAAGCGGGGCGCCGGGACGTGTGCATGCACCTGTTCAGAGACCAACTGCAAGATCGAGGTTTGGCCGTACACATTGCCTGGGGAGTTCCTGCGTTCGGTGATGGCGGCGGCAGCTCTCGTGTGAGTCAACGGTCGGCCACTGCAGTTGGCCTTACGTCTCCCAGTACGGGCATGCGGCTCGACCATCACTTCACGTGGCTACACCCATCCAGGTTCGGCGTTCAGTTAGGTACACACCAGAAATTTCAATTTCCGGTTCAATATCCTAGGTACTTAGATAGGAAAAAGCCTTCCTTATAATACTTCTCAAAATACAACAGTTTAAGCATTACCGTTGAGCTACAATTTCCCATAGGAATCGAACATTGGCATCACTGCCGGGAAAAATCCTAACCTCGGCGGTCATCGCCGAATATTAGAATGGTTAGCTCGCTTGACCCTTCGACTAAAAATGTCGGCCGTCACGACAGCTTTTACTCAAGTAGTTAATCGTGCCGGTGGTTCTAAACGAGTTCGACCACATAATGAACTTATAGCTTCCACACTTCGATGTCTAGCGTAAAGCTTCCCTCGCAAGGGTTTCCAGCTAACATCATAATACCAATCAGATTAAGTCACATAGGGCACATAAACATGAAATTTTACGAAAATCTAATTTTTGAAAATTCACAATTTATTTAGGAAACTAAACATGAACTAGCACCAATTTTCAGCATGCGTATTGAATTTAAAATGCATATAGTTTCCAATTTACAGATCATATCATGATAAAACGACTTGGAAATTATCCCCAACTCATGCCTCTATCACTTTCATGAATAACACTCAGGTGGATAAAGTCATTTAAAGGCACATAATTCAGCAAACATCCAAAACATGGGTGCAGTACATAAATAAAGATATACAGCCTGACAGGTTCTCAGTGTATGCAAAATAACCGAAGCTACAAACATGATATTATTGAAATTCAAAAAGCCCAAGGTAGCTAATTCAACTTTCTACATCTTCTTTGAAGACCCCATTGGCAAATTATAACATTATCAACAAGTTTGAATATAAAACATTTAGTTTGCAAAAACAGCCAAAGAACAATTTTTCGAAAATACAGCACCTTAGTAAAATAGCAACAACTCAAGCTACACAACTCCAATTCATACAAACTAAAAACCTATATAATCTACACATGGAAATCTACAAATTTCATGAAGAGAATGTTTACATATCAGCACGTTAAAGGCATAAATTCAGAGCATACATTTCATGCATACACACAGCCACTGTTTCAAAATCCTGGGCATAAATCCAACTTAGAAAAAATCATATAAAATAAACCAAAACTACAAATTGCATAGTTCCAATTCATACGGGCAGCTTATATCATATACTACATTTTTCATGAAGAACACATTTCCATTCAGGCATGCTAAGATCATCATAAGTAGCCATGAACTAAAATCAAATCCTTCTGCCCGAGTTTATCAAAACAACATGCTCGACGAACTTTGAAAAATCATAACAAATTCATTTTAACCCCAAATCACAAAATTCTAAAACTCACAGAAACTTCATTCAGAGCACTACAAATCTCATGAAGAACACTTGTCAAAAAAAACATCATCTTGTTCGACCAAAAATAGAGCCTAACTGAAGCTCAAAAAATTGAATTTTCATGCCTTCATCAACTCAAAATGATCACACAACAACATAGCCTCGAAATCACGTAAGTTACATGTTAAGCAAGCCTCAATATCAATACTTTAAGACGTAAACATCAATGTCATCAAACACGTTGTCCGAGGTCCAACTCGATCTTATTAAACAAGATAGAAAAATAAAGTCTTTTGCCTTTCACTTGAATTATTACATCTTTTGGTTTGATAATATATAACAATTCACATTAATACATAAATTCAACCTCAATCATCGAAGATCACATATACATCACATGAACCCGACCAAACCTATCATGATATAAACGAGACTCTCAATCTAATACACTTACCTAATCATATCACCTAAAGAGGAATCAATAAATCACATAATCCTTATCTCTTACCCAACTAACCATGCTTCAAGCTAGCATGAACTCACCCTTACTATGGCACAAGATACATTGAACACATAACACACCAGAGGTTGAACATAGGCCATGAACATCCATAAATATGGCAGCCTATAAGATATTGACTCATCTCATAATTTTCGAAACCTGGCAAAGGTCCGAAAAGGGCGAATACATTCCCGGTTCTCATTGACCGGGTCCTCACTTGAAGACATTGAATAAAATTATACAGCAAGGGAAACTGTTATGAGCATAACTTATCTCGATAACAACAAACTGAACCTCATAGCGAGGAACCTCTAGAGTCTGAACTTAACTCTATATCACTAGAGTTCAACACAAACACTAGAGTTCGAATTTAAAACGAAGGTGGATAAATCCTAAGCCCCAAATTTCAACATTTCATATCATAAGCAGTCTTATTACTACTTAAGCAAGAATACAAAATCACATTTCATAGCATAAGTATTTTCATTGATACTTATTTAAACACATACCTTAAGCAGCGCGGCATGACGAATATGAGTGGTCTTAATATAGGGTCTAAGCATATAAACACGTTTTCACATATATGCCAGTCTACAGAAACGTAGACTGGCTCTGATACAAAACTGTAACGCCCCAATCGATCTTTAAAGAAAATCCATGGCTTTTCCAAAAATCAAGGTAAAAATTTTCGAAACTTATTTTTCAAGTCACAAATTTTTGACGTTACTCATTCCTTTCATAAATACAGTTCAAGTCATAACTGAACTATGGGGATTCATTACCCGATTTTTCTACGGTTTTCATTAACCACATAAAACGATAAATTTAACATCAGATCATACTCAACCATATATCAAGTAGGGTTTTTCATCGTAAACCAAATCCAAAAGTTTTCCAAAATGAACAAGTTCAAAATCCAATCCAAACAAGTTCAATACCAACATAGTTCATAAATAAGCGGAAGCAATTTACTAAGTATAATAAGCAATGACCACCACCCGTCCTGTCTCGTTACACGCCACTGCTTAACCTGCATCAGTTACGAGCAGGTGGGAGTGAGTACAGTTAAATATCGTACTCACACTATGCAATGCACATATAGTAATATGTTAAATAGGCATGGTCGCAGCATGAACATAAACAATATCACATATGTCACATCTTCAACATAAACATAAATACTCCTGTGTACACATCTTTCATAATAGTCGCGGAAAGGGGATTAATTACCCTAACGGCGAGAGTACGTGCCACGCAAGGACACGACCTTTCATAATAGGTCTTAAGGAGACTTACCTCGCAAGGGAAACCGTATTACATAGACGGGGACAACCGTATCGATAGCCATCATAATAGCTCACATCGATAGGCTACATATTCACGTTC